CTTACTGTAGTAATCATTTCGTAATGTATACAAATATACAAATATCGAATCATTATGTTGTACACATGAAACTAATATAAGGTTATATGTCAGTCACACTTCAATTTAAAAAAAAAGAGAAAGAAAAAGAAGAAAGAGAGAAAAAAAGAGAAATACCAGAAACCAAAGTAAGTTTCTAGTAGGAAAAATATACAACTATAATCAAAGACTCCTTTCTTTAAATAAATTATCTATGAAATTACTCTTTCTTACATTATATCCATGGAAATGATTAGTCCTGGCTTTCTGAAAAACTGGATCTATTATTTAGTGTTAAATATCTATGAGATTTGCTAAAAATGCTACCATAGGCTTTTAAAATTAAGATGACAGCCAAAATACACAAAACAACTTACTAAAATTTACTGACAATTTACTAAAATACAAAAGGGAAAAATATTCACATTAATTAAAAACTTTACATTTTGTACTGACTATGTTTCTATTGTAACTGCTTATTCTGTTTTTGTTAGAAAGAAAAAAACAACACTAAAAACATAGATAATTTTACTTAAGTATTTGTAGGTTTTTTCCTAACCATTCAGAAAGTACTTAAAATCACTTTATATATTCATGCTTTTCACTACAGACTACCAAAAAAAGAACAAATATTAGAGCTCAACCATATGGTCTTTCTGTCACTACTCTGGTGTCTGATAAGTTTATGCATGTTTAATTAGTATGGCATATATCACTTATGTCTTCTTATAAACAACAGTTCTGTGTCACACTAGTGAAATGTTATCATCTGAGTTACTAGATTTAACTAAGAGATTTAGCTTGTTCAATAAATCTTCAAACTTATGAGAAATTGTCAGAAACTCATACCTTTAACATTATGAGTAATAAATCACCCATCTATGAAAAATTATTCCATTTCTAAAGCAATGTAGAGTTATACCACCTAAAGCCAAGGAAGAAAACTTGTAATTTCCAGTTTAAAAATAAAACTGATATAAAGATATGGATATACAGGTAGAGACACAATTATATTTTACCAATGAGAAGACCATAATAAATGATCAACATAGTACATAACCAAAAAAAGAAATCAACCAAAATAGCCTAAAATTAAGGTACTCAGACAGGAGCATGGAAGTTCTACTTATGGTCAAGTGGTCTAGACTCTAAACAGGTTCAGCCATAAACATCCTTAACTGGTATTAAAAGAATTTGTTACTTAATTAAAAACCTAACCCCTCAAAATTAATAATATTAATCAAAATTATACAATACCTTTAAGCAATATTTAAAGATAACTACATACGTAATATTATTAATCAATGTTATATATCTTTTATCAGCAGCATACAGATATGTAACTATTTGCTGCTGCTACTTCTACGACCACTTACCACTTACTAAGCTCTAAGATATGCTAGGTGCACTCTAAGCACTTTATAAGCGTTGGCTTGTTTAACCCTCACAGCCCTGTGAGACAGGTACTGTTAGTATCCCCATTTAACAAATGGGGACACTGAATAGCAATAGTTTAAAAACTTAATCAAGGTTACACAAGTAGTAAAGAGCAGAGCTGTGACTGAACCCAGGCAGGGTGATTTGAGTTCACTCTCTTAACCAATAAAAACAAAACAAAACAAAAACCCATAAAAGAAATCTACTTCTCTATCTTATTTTTTTTTTTTTTTTTTTGGTGAAGACTAGCCCTGAGCTAACATCTGTTGCCAATCCTCCTCCTTTTGCTAAGGAAGACTGGCCCTGGACTAACATCCATGCCCATCTTCCTCTACTTTATATGTGGGCTGCCTGCCACAGCATGGCTTAATAGTGGTGTGTAGGTCCGAGCCCAGGATCCAAACCCGTGAACCCCGGGCTGCCGAAGTGGAGTGTGTGAACTCAACCACTACGCCACCAGGCTGGGCCCTCTATCTTATTTTAACTATTATCAGTCACAGCTTATTCTATACTTGATTTCTTTATCCTTGAGGCTTCTACATATTTCTTTCCTTATATTGGTGTTAGAATCCTGCTTAGATAGCTTCAGGACTTCTGGGAGGCTTTTTAAAGAGAATGTATAATCAAGTGATTACAGCATTTGCCAGAGCATCAGACTCCTTAGGGAGGATTTAGCTCCACTATTTGCCAGCTTTGTGACCTTAGGCAAATTACTCACTTCTCAGGGTTTCCTTACCTGTAAAATGGGAATAAGAATAGCACCTGACTCACAGTCATTGTAAGAATTCAGTAAGATTCTACCAACAAATATTTATTGGGCAAATATATGTCATATGCTATTCTAGCTACCAGAGATACACATGAAAAAGATTGACATTACATTCTAACATGGCAGATAGATAATAAACAAGTAGACAAATAAACTGAAATAGTAAGGGCTATGAAGAAAATAAGGTACTGTGAAAGAAAATGAGTGAGAAAACATTGGCAGAGGCAAACATATAGCATATGTTATTATTGACAATTTAAAAGTTCTTGAGATGACTTCTTCAACTATAAGGCTTCTGTGAAAATAACGAACAATTTTTTCCCCCACTTGTATTTTCAAGAATTTAAAGGAATGCTCTTTGAGGGCAGGGATTACGGCATTCATTCACTCAGTCTACAACTAAGTTTCTAGCACTAGATTAGGTGCTTGGAACATGAAGATGAATAAAACAGTCACAGCCTTTACAGAGGTGTCAGTCTACTAGAGAACCTAGTGTTGTCTTAATTAAACTTAGAGCCTTGTAGAGAAGATAATAAGAGTAAGATAAGTGTTAAAAACTGGGAAGTACAAGGGAAATACCAGATGGGAATCTAACTCAAAATTGGGGATGTCAAGGAAGGCTTCTTGAAGGATTAGCAGAAGTTGGTCAAAAAAAGAGTGGGGAGGAAGAGAAAGGGCAAAAAGAATACAAAAAGTTTATAAAGGTCTAAAGACTGTACAAGTAAACAGGAGCTTTATAAGCCTTCTAAAGACTTTTGGAATTTGTCCCCAGAGTCAATAAGTTTTTTCACCTTCTACCTGAAAAACTAAAAACACAGACAGTATATATGAAACAATAGTTTTTAAGATACAGGACATCAGGGAAGGAAGAGTGATCCCTGAGAGATAAGAAACAAATGAGATAGGCCCTGATCGCCTCGCTTATCGTCTTGAGTTTCCAGGCTGGGGCATGAGGAGGGGAGACCCATATAGCCAAGCAAACCTGAGTTGAAGAGACACTGCTGAGAGTCCAGGGAGACCAAAAAGACTAAAGCTCACAGGGAAGAAGACTGGAGTGGAGAGAGCTGCACAAAGAATGAACTCCAGAGATCTGCAAAGGGACCTCTCAAGTATCTAGTAGAGTACTGATCAGCACACAGCAGTGAGGAAACAATCCAAGATAGTAGAAAGAACCACCTGAAATGATGAGGCACTCACACAGGGCATGGAATAGAGCCTGTTCCCACCAGCCAGGATGGAAAACCTCACAACTAATGGAGCATTAGATAGAGGACTCAGAAGGAGCTAGCTTCTGTTGAGGTAGCCAAAAACTACATTCTGCTCAGGTCCCCCCTAACAAATCCTGAAAGCAACACCCAAAAGGATCAAGCTGATTCCAAGTAACTTAACTGCATCCCAGAACAAAACTTGAGTATTTATAGAAATATAATATCCAGCACCCGACAACGTACAATTCACAATATCTGGAATTCAATAAAAAATTACCAGGCATGATTCCTTTTACATAAAACCATACATTAAATGAAAACTAATCTATAGTTACTGAAAAAAAAATCTGTGGTTGCCTGGGGATAGGAGGATGAGGCAGAAAACGGTCCATTGGTCTATCTTTCACTTAAGATGGATCTTTTCTCCAGGCATCATTTTGTAATATTATGTACAGGTCATTTAGGAAATGTTTCGTTCACTGATTTTACAGATCTTACAAATATTAACACATTTCATTATACAATATCAAAAAGTCACATTCTATAGTATCACCTCCAATATCATCAGAAAAGTCTTTAAGTATCAGAAAACCGCCAAGCTCACAATGGTATATACAGTTTTTCAAAATTCTGATTTTCACTTGAAACCTCAAATTTTATCAAGCTCAGTTTATTTTCAAGAATTACTCTAATTAGTCTATCAGTCATTCTTTCAAGTAAAAATGATGTTCCATGAAAAAAAGTGGCTAGTTCAGCTCACAATCCAAACTATCCTAGAAGTGCTTTTCTTCAAGACAGCCATCCTACTCCTGTATGCAAAAGTGTTTTATGAGTACTACTCATTTCTCCACACAGGTTAAAAATTGCAATGGCTGAGATTTAATAAAATTAGTAATTTTTACTGCTTCATCAAGGACATTCTTAAGTGAAACTGGCTTTTTTAAACTGTGTATTAATGATGGTGAAGAAAATTACTATTAATACAGGCTGGTGCCACTATCTCGATTGTGCTAAACCACAAACAGTTTTACCCATCATTGCTTTTGCACCATCAGTGCAAATGTCTAGACAGTAAAAAACGGCAAATAACATCTCAGTATTACTATAAAAATACTTTTGACCTCACAGACCACCTGAAAAAACTCTCAGGAATCTCCAGAGCTCCCTGGACTACCCTTGAGAACAGCTGCCCTAAGGACACTGAAAGAACTTTAGGGAAGTAGAGTTCACAAACATTAGCATGTAGATGAGAAAAAAACCTTTCAGATCTCTTTCTAGTCCAATTCTCTCATTTTATAAATGAGGAAACTGGGGCACAATGAGGATAGGGTTTACTCTCTCACACATTAATATAGCACATAGGACTTCTGAGTTGTTTTCTACTATTCTTTACATTACACTCTTCTTTTTTCAAAAACAGATTTAGCAAATTCCACATTTTCCTTCTTTAAACTGAACAATGGCATAAATATATATACATTCTATGGAGAAAAGTTTATCTTTCCTAATGGAGAATTGAGTTTTGTGGTCTTTCCTACAGCAACTTTTGCATCCAAATGGTGTACCTCCTTTTCAAAAACAATGACATTTTCTAATCTGTAAACACAGAACCAAAATGGAGTTTAATGTAAACTAAAAGTTTAGCAGACAAGTTCTCACAGGTCAAAATAGGTCAAAAGATCAAAATAGCTATAATGTGTGTTTTCAGCATAAAAAAAAAGATGACTATTTCTAACTAGCAATAATCAAATAATTTTTTAAAACACAAATAGATACCTTATTACAAGACTTAAATAAAATAGAATACAGTAACACCTCTCGAATCCTAACCAAAATAGCTTTAGTGATACGTCAAAACTATTGTATTGTCAAATGATCTTCCCATAAAATAGTCCCACCATATGGATACCAAGTACAGTATTATAGCAAAATCCAATTACATATCTAATTGGAAAATTAAAGTAAATAAAACCTCATTCTAAATTGAAAAAAAACAGAAAATTTTAAATGTAAATATTCATAATTTCCTACATGACAGAATTACTTGATTACTATTATTACTATTACTTATTGATATTTGCTAATCCAAATTGTATTTGACTCAATTTCTTTTATAAATACCCACTAAGTTTTCTTTCCTAACTCTCTATGCTGTCTATGCTTTTTTCCCCTTGCCAAAAACCTATTTACTTAAGGGGGGGAGCATTTCTATTGATAATCCCATTCCTACCAAAAAAGAAATGAGAGCCAATGAAGTCAAGGAATAAATGTTATATGTTGAGCCCTACCTCACAACATCCAACTCTATGTTCACATTTTTTGGGGAAAAAAATCTCTATGGATTCATACTTCATTTGTACTTGGTGCTTTTCCAAAAATAAACTAGTTCATTCTATTTCTAAATGCAAGGTTTAATTTTGGAAGTTAATAAAGATTGTAAGTGGAATAGACAAACTACATAAGGATGTAAACACTTTTTGAGTATATTCAACTAAAAATATACAATCACCTACAAATGACATGCTAATTAATTAATAATTATCTTTTTTATTTGTAACTAAGTCTATTAAAGTCTCAGCCTCTCTACCTCACTGCCATGAACCCTATGATAAAACATTATATTCATCTATGAAAAGTACATTTCATTTGAAATATCTAGTAATTCAGGTCTTTCAATAATTTTTAGAAATAAACATATTTTATCAGGTATTAATATTAAAAACTCAATAAGTAAGAGTAAACCTTGTCATTATACTATACTATACAAAAATATCCATGACAAATATTCATATCAAAGGTATTTTTGCCAAAAGAAAATGCCATTATTAGATAAAAACAATAGAAGAGTTAAAAGTACAACATAGCTATATTATCAATATATTCCTTAAGTAAATAGTTTACTGTCAAATTCCTCTTATATAAGAGAGCACCATGTAGTTTCACTTTAATGATGTGTTATTGTGAATAATCTACTATAATAAACTCCTTTTTAACGAGTAACTATATAAAATGAAGTTACAATAATTTACCATTTAATTTATGTCCGTGACATGACCCAACTCATCTCTACAAGTCCCACTGAAAACTTGATTGATACTTGACTACCTTGTTCTGCTACAACTAACAGGATTATTTCACTGCCAATAAACCCTGTTTACCTGCTGTGTAGTTTCTAAGGGTCAAATTCTTTTCTTCTCTACTTGAAAATTACCATTTTCATCTCTGCATATGGATGCCTGTTTCTTGGCAGATAGCTTTGCAGCCAGCGTAGTTTTTTTCAGGAGAGTCTTATATAAGTCATAAAAAATAAGTATAAATAACTTACACTTAGGCAATTTTCCTTCTTTTTTTTCTGCTGGGAAAGAGTTGCCCTGAGCTAACATCTGTTGCCAATCTTCCTCTCTTTTTTTTCCCCTCCCCAAAGCCCCAGTACATAGTGGTATATTCTAGTTGTAAGTCCCTCTAGTTCTTCTGTAAGAGCTGCCGCCACAGCATGTCTACTGACAGAGGAGTGGTGTGGTTCTGCACCTGGGAACAAACCAGTGTCGCCGAAGCAGAGCGCACAGAACTTTAACTGCTAGGCCATCAGGGCTGGCTCCAGGCAATTTTTCTAGAAAAAAATTGGAATCAAGATATAAAACTTATTTCTAAAAATTTCATAACATACTTTAAAACATAAAATGCCAAACATGTTTAAAAGTACTTCTTTATCACTCAGTTTACTTTAACAAAGATATAGCAAACATTTTGAGAAATATGCTTACAACAGGAAAGTCTAATTTTAGGTTTATGCTTTTGTAGACCACTCCCAATAACAAGGTTGAAAAAATATAACTATCTCACTGTTTGCAGACGACATTATTTTATATATAGAAAACCCTAAAGAATCCATTGGAAAACTATTAGAAATAATCAACGATACAGCAAAGTTGCAGGGTACAAAATCAACTTACAAAAATCAGTTGCATTTCTGTACTCTAATAACTAACTAACAGAAAGAGAACTCAAGAATACAATCCCATTTACAATGGCAACAAAAAGAATAAAATATTTTGAATAAATTTAACCAAGGAGGTGAAAGACCTACACAATGAAAACTATAAGACATTACTGAAAGAAATCAATGCTGACATAAAGAAATGGAAAGATGTTCCATGCACATGGATTGGAAGAATAAACATAGTTAAAATGTCCATACTACCTAAAACAATCTACAGATTCAATGCAATCCCAATCAGAATCCCAATGACGTTCCTCACAGAAATAGAACAAAGAATCCTAAAATTTATATGGAACAACAAAAGACCCTGCATAGCTAAAGGAATCCTGAGAAAAAAGAACAAAGCTGGAGGTATCACACTCCCTGATTTCAAAATATACTACAAAGCTATAGTCATCAAAACAGCATTGGGCCAGCCCCGTGGCTTAGCGGTTAAGTGCGCGTGCTCCGCTACTGGCGGCCCAGGTTCGGATCCCGGGCGCGCACCGACGCACCACTTCTCCGGCCATGCTGAGGCCGCGTCCCACATATAGCAACTAGAAAGACGTGCAACTATGACATACAACTATCTACTGGGGCTTTGGGGGAAAAAAAGGAGGAAGATTGGCAATAGATGTTAGCGCAGAGCAGGTCTTCCTCAGCAAAAACAGAGGAGGATTAGCATGGATGTTAGCTCAGGGCTGATCTTCCTCACAAAAAAAAAACAGCATGGTACTGGCACAAAAACAGACACACAGATCAATGGAACAGAATTGAGAGCCCAGAAATAAAACCACACATATACAGACAGCTAATCTTTAACAAAGGAGTCATGAACATACAATGGAGAAAGGAAATAAATGGTGTTGGGAAAACTGGACAGCCACATGCATAAGAATGAAAGTAGACCATTATCTTT